ACACACACACACACACACACACACACACACACACACACACACGCGTGAAGCTGCAGTGCTGGAAGCCTCTGCAGCTTCACTGGAATCAGAACATGCTGATGTGACAGCGTCAACCATCACAGCTAAGGGAGAAGTAACACTTCTGTGTTATGACAGCACAGAGTCGTACTTACTGCAGGGCCCAGTGATGTCGTTCAATCCTTCTAACCAATGCTCATCCTGTTTTTTGCAGCATCAATATTTCTCTGCTGCCCCGGGCAAGAAATTGTTAACAATCTTCAAATATAGACTTGACCATCATTTTTTTAACAGAATTTTCTTATTTCCCAGCTCACTGGTCTTTTGAGGATGATGTGCAAGGTTTCATCTCATGCTGCAAAGTTAATTAAATCTGGAGCTTGTTTTTATTGAAGTCTGATTTACTTCCTGTGGTTGCACCAACACAAACACTCATCGTTGCAGCGTGCATGTTTGTTTGTGTCTCCAGGTCAGCTCACTAGGCGGCACACATCACTATGGCCCAGGAGACCAATCAGAGCCCAGTTCCTATGCTCTGTGCCACTGGCTGTGGTTTCTATGGCAACCCTAGGACAAATGGCATGTGCTCTGTGTGCCACAAGGAACACCTGTCAAGACAGAACAATGGAGGAGTCAGTTCTTTGAGTTCTGTGGGTAAGACCTGCTGTGTCTGTCAGGTTGTTTTCTAGTTTCCTTGGGCACGTAGGAGAAAAGTCGTGACCTCTGTCTGCAGCTGCACTGCCCCCGTGTCTGACTGTAACATGTGGTGAAATCTCCTCCCTCAGGCAGCAGCAGTGGCCCCTCAGCTGAGGCGTCTGCCATCCAGAGGTTAGAGGCCACCTTGAACAATGCTGCAGCCGCCGCGGTCGCTGCCGCAGAGGAGGCAGCCGAGGCCGCTGCCTCCGCTGAGGCCGTCGCCGCCGAGGCTCTCAGGTGAGATACTCGTTTGATGGTGTATAGCTGAAGATATGATTATTATTATCATTTAATTCATTTACTTTCCTCTTATATAGCTATTCTGAATTTTATTCCATTTATGCTTCGCAGTGGGGTGTCGTCGGCCATTTCTATGACACAGCAGATGACGGAGATGAGTCTCTCCTGTGAGGAGAAAGGAGCATCGGGGAGTAAAACAGAGCTCATAGAGCCAGGTTGGTTCCTCCAGTGAATTACATACATTAATGTAATAGTTAATTGAGAGCTGTGTCATACAGGAAATCAAACTCTCCAGTTTAGCTTTTGTTTTCACTGTCAATACAAATTTGGTTTATACTGAGATACCTTTTACTTATATATTGCTGACTGTGACTTGGCCATTGGACACAAAGTTGTAAATGTGAGTAAGACTCAACTTTAAGACTTTTTGGAAATATTGCATTTAAAGTACCTGGACAAATATTGTATGAACATACTGTATGTGTCCAAAACATTTCATAATGTAAATGTATAACTTTGAAAAACCTCTGTCTTTCAGTATTACATTTTACAACAGTTTGATCTGCTCTTTTACTCACATACACAAGGAGGCTTTCCTGTTTACAGCACCTGAGTCATGTGTGTTTCTTGTGTGTCTCCAGTGGTGAGTCAGCCCACAGTCTCATCCTCCCACCCGTCCACTGCTGGCAGTGACGAGTCCAAATCCCCCGAGCCCCCGAAACCCAAGAAGAATCGCTGCTTTATGTGCCGTAAAAAGGTCGGCCTCACAGGTGAGAGCTGTCACAGACACAGGATTCATTGTCATTAGGATGAGACAGTCCGCCACTCACCACAGCTTCAGGGTGTCTGGACTGAGTGATTGTTTGGCAGTCGTGTGTGTGTCCTTGTTATTGATTGGACTCCTCTGCTGTGGCTTTTCAGGTTTCGACTGCCGCTGTGGGAATCTGTTTTGTGGACTTCACCGATACTCCGACAAGCACAACTGTCCGTACGACTACAAAGCCGAAGCTGCCGCCAAGATTCGCAAAGAGAACCCCGTGGTCGTCGCTGACAAGATCCAGAGAATATGAGGAAGACTCTGTTTGACTTCTTTTGAAAACTGGGAGCGATCGGATAAAAGAAAAGAGAGAAAAAAAAAAAAGACTTGAGCCCAACCTTCTCACTGAAGGATCCGTTCTTTTCTGGTTTGTTACACATTCAGGACATTTCCTCCCCGTGCATGGAAGTTCACGTATATTTTCAGCTTTGTTCTCTGTCGGGGTGTGTGAGTCGAACAGTTTTGAAGGATTGTATTGAACAAGCAAATATTGTGTGTGAGAATTAGGTGTGGGTGGGAGTTCGATTTATGAGAAGTGACTGAGCGAGACTGCTGAAGAAAAAGTTGTTGCCCTTTAGAAAAATCGCTGTTGCCATCTGTCCGGTCTGTGTCGTGATCCTGCTGAGATCACTGGAACTCTGCGTCCGGACACATTCAGGCTTTCGTTTGGACTCTTGACTGTTACTGCTGTCGGCTGATTGGACCAGCGCTTGCTCTCTGCTGGCTTGAGTAGCAAAATGGATATTTGCCTCTTTCTTTCTGGTTGTTTTTTTTTGGAGCCTCCACTTGAGATCAGAGTTAAACGCTCCTGACTTGGTCAGACTCTCCTGGTAAGTTATTATCAAAGTGAAAACGCTTCTCTGTGCTGCCGGAATCCCGTCCTGTCCGACTCGCCTGTGACTTAAAAAAAAAAAAGAGACTTTGTGGCTAGCATTTTCTCGCTGGCTCATCTTCTTCCCTTCTGCAGGATCTTGACGTAGTTTTGCAGTGAATTTCTTTTTCTCCTGCCGTTAATGGACTGAAAGCTGTGATTTGCTCGGGGAGGGCGGACACACAGATTTCTGCTTTTTGAAACCATCCACTGAAGTCACATGTCAAACGTTTTTTTTTTCTTTCTTTTGTTCTGTTGTTTTCCAGAAAAGTGATTTGTACGCTGTGTGTTGTTGTGTGACAAGTAGCCTACACTTGTATTAATATTTGCCTTTGGAAATGTTTAGCTCCACTAATATTTTTTTTTTTTTTACTTCACTATTGAATGTTTTTTTCTGTTTTTAATGTGAGCTGACAAATTCACCACATGGGGAGTGTTGGACTGCTGCGTGCCGTGTGACAAACACAAGACGTGTGTGTTTGTGGGAGTAGATGTCGTCGGCTGGTGTGTGAGTTTCGTATGAGGCGGAGTGGTTGTGTGTCGCGGTGACTTGTGAGATTTGTGGACGTAGGTTATTAATAATTTTCCGTTTTTGATTTTTGGTCTGGCTGCTTCGTGTGTGTGTGTTTTTTTTTTTATCCTTTAGTTATGCAAGTTTGTACAAACATCTTTATTTATATACTGCAGTGTGCATAATCTTCCATTAGTTCAGAATAAATTGTATGATGTAAATAAATTATGTTCAAAATTACACGATCCAGACTCTTCATTTGAAGTTTTCATGCAAAGCTTCTTAACAGTGTCTCTCAGTAAAAGTTAAAACTGCTGTCTGTCAGTTTCCATGTGACTCGAGAAACAGGATCTGCTGCAGCGAGCATGGCCTCAGGTCACGTTATGACACACACACACACACACACACACAGAGCGAACTCATTGATCAGCCCGAGAGGCACATGGTGGAACACGGCTCTCAGCCTCTCTCAGAAGATTAGTAGAAGTGGTTCCCCAAATAATCTTAACCACTAAGAAGGTTATACTTTCACCCGGGTTTGTTTGTCAGCAGGATTACGCAGAAATAACCAAACTAATTTCCACCAAACCTGGTGGGGGAGGGGGCCCTAAGCCTGAGAAGAACCCATTAAATGTTGATGCAGATCTCTGTATTCATGTCATCTTTTTACATATGTATTTTAAGACTCAGTTATAGGAACACAGAGCAGCACATGTTAGTAGTAAAGTAAGGTTCTCAAATTGTCACAATTTTACTTCCTTTTTTTTAGAAATTTACTCCAAAACCAAATGCAGTCAAATTCAGACTCATGAGAAATTCAGTATGAATTCTCAGCTTGAGAGAGAAAATCAGAAGATATCTTTTCCTCATTTCCTTACATCCTCCTTCTCCTCTCGTAACTCTGCCCACAGCCCTGGTGACAGAAGCATCAGACCTCTGAAGGTCCTCTGAGGACTCTGGTCTGGGAGCCTCCCCACACATCCTTCCATTTTTGGGACCGATTACACCTGATGTTCACCCCCTGCCCATTTCTCCCACATCCAACCTGGTGACTAAGAGAACGACTGTTTCCTCGGGGGGGTCTGATACATCCTAGATCGTATCGTGTGCCGTAAAATATATCTGTAGATGCATGAAGGGATAACTTAGGGTTGAGTCAGGGGATCAGTAAAGTAGGATTCACCCTCTGGGGACAATGAATGTGCAAAGAATGTGTGACACTGTGGCTGATGGACGGTCAGACCAACGGAGGCTGAAAACGATCTTATCTTTATCTGATCTTTCTATTGGTCTAAATATAAGTGTTTGTGAGTGGGGAGGTTTCATAAAGACACTGCGATCATCTGACTGTAACTTCAAGGCAGGAAAGAGTTTGTGGTGTGAAATTCTCCAGACTGTGACCTCACAGAGTCTGCCACTGATGTTTACAGATGAGGATGAAGATGAATTCAGCTTTTACGGTCGAAAACAGTTTTTGTATGACGTCAAATTTCAGGTTTACAAAGACACAAACTCAAAAATTTCAGATCATTCTCACGTAAATAAATAATGGCCTCTCAGATGCATTTTCAAGTATAATGAATTCTTTCAGTACCACCGTCATGCTGCAGAAGATCGAAATGTGTTGATACACAGAAGAATTTCTCTTTTCAACGTTCATGTTGGTGATAAACCACTAGGGGGCGTAACATCCACACACAACTGACTAAGGAACATTAACTTCTTGTGGATTACGAGCAATTTAGAAAAGTATGAAACTGTTTAAAACAACAGACACGAACCTGGATATTGTTAATTCAGTTTTTGGCTGAGATCTGGATAATGGTGTGTGTGTGTGTGTGTTTCCATAACCCCCCCCCCACAGAACAACCAGACATCCCCCAAAATGAAAGGAGGAGGCGTGTGTGCACTGCGTCTGAATGGATGTGATCCACATCTCACCTGCAGGAACCGACAACCGTGTAATAGAATCATTTTGGACGTGAAAAGTGAGCTGTTCTCTTATTATTTAATGAGGAGCTTCTTTGCAGTTTCCAGTTCTGCACAACACCCACACACACACACACACACACACACACACACAGGGAGCAGCTGTCAGTCTGTGCTTCAGGCCGCCTGACTCACCGACCTGCCACATTTCTACTGATCACCTCCGAAACCAACAAAACATGAAAGATCAAATTCAATTCTGCAGCTTTAAGGTCATCTCAGGGTATTTACTGCTCGCCTAATGAGGCCTGCACACAGAAACCTAAACCTTCATTAAATCTTAAGGCTGTCTGGTCTTCTCCTGCATGTGTGTGTGTGTGTGTGTGT